GCTTACATGTAATATTTTTAAATTTTGAGTTTGATGAGATATAGAAGTTAAAAATAGAGGATAATAGGATATTTCTCCTTTTATTTTTTTTAATTAAACTCGACACTTTACTGTATCCTAATCACTCCGTTAAGGGGCCCACTTGGACCTACTCTGTCTGTTGTTTGCTTTTCGATTGAACCACATGAAAATGGTTTACCGGCATATACCTGACATTCAAAAGACACCAAGTGGCAACGGGTCAAGTCGGGTCCAGCCGGACCCAAAAAATATATGGCAGTTCGACCCAAACCGGAAAATATAGTATGCAACTCAGACTTAGACCCGGCTAGACCTGATCAAGCCCAACTCAAAAATTTAAAAATATCTAGTATATTTAAATATAATTTATATAGGATATGGTTCCTATAAGGTTGCAACCTTAAACAATCCAATTAAGGCGTACTTCAAAAATTTATCATAATATGTAATTTTGTCGTAAAAAATTCTTAGGATTATCTTAAAATCTATTTTCATATCTAATTATAAAATTTTAAATTCAAAAAATTGTTAAAATCAAGTAGATCTATGAATATATGAAAGTCCTAAAAATAGACGGTCTAGATAATGTGTTGGAAGATGCACTATTTATGAGACTCAAATTTTTGTATTCATACCTCTCGATATCGAGATGATCAATTAGAGGGTTTTTTAACATTAAAACAACATTTCCAATAGGTTTTTGACGTACATTTGTGATTCTACATTTTAAGGTTGCAACCTTATATAAACTTTTTTCATTTATATATTAAGACCCAATAAATATTACCGAATCCGAATCCAATTAGTGTATGGGTCCAATATTTTAACCCGGATCCGGATCAGGTCAACTCTCAGGTCTTAGGTTGGGTCCGAGTTCATTGCCACCCCCATAGCAAGTGTTTCTAGTGCATCTCAAAGTAGTGTACCTTGACTAAGCCGAATTACTCGGAGTGACCTTGGTGCCCATTACTCCTAAGTTGCACATAAAATTAGGGTTCTAGAAAATTTGAAAAAAAAAAAATTGTCAAATAAAAAAAAAACACAAAAAAAAAACCTATTTCTAACCCTTTTCCATTATCCTCTCCTTCCCTCTCTCTCCCTCTTTTTTCCGTCGTACTTTCCCTTAAAAGAAAAATTTAGAGAGAGAGTCGTAGTTTCCCTTAAAGAAAAATTGGGAGAGAGAAGAACTCTTTGAAAAAATAATTATGCCCTATATAAATTTTGTAGTGGTTCTTTCATTGTATATATAGGAATAATCATGTAATTATACACTTTCTGATCTTATCATGTGACTTTTCTATAATGTCATATGCAATATACACTTTTATTTGTTCTTACTTTTCTATCTTATTACAATTTGTGAAATATGTTTCTAGTACTCCTCCCTCTTTCTTCATCTCTCTCTAATTTCGACGTAAGCCCTCCAAGTTCAATATCACCTTCCATAGCCCCAATTTTGATGTACATCTTCAATCACTTCTCTATGTGTAAGGTGAAAGGCCACCATGGCTGCTGAGAGGGTGTAGGAGCGAGATAGGGTCAATGAGAGAGATGTAGGAGAGAGGGCGAGGGGCTTCGTGGCCTGGGAGGGGGGAGCTAAAGTGGGGCTGCATGGCGTAAGGGAGAGGGAGGGACCCATGGCCTATGGGGAGAGAGTGGGGTTTTTAGGTTTTTTTTTTTTTTTTTTTTTTTTTTTTTTTTTTTGGAATTCTATAAGTACTAGGTTCTTTTTTTTTTTTTCTTTCTTTTTTTTCTTTTTTTTTAATTTTTTTTTTAAATTTTTAACTGTTAATTAGTTAGTGGTGTTTGAAATGTTATTAGCAACTGAGGTGGAGAGTGTGCTAGCACCACGACATCAGCCCTTTTCCCGAGAGGGAATAGGGGCTGCGTGGCCTAAGGGAGGCTGGTCTCATGGCTTGGCACGTGGTTGAATTCCCTTGCCCTTTTTTGCTTCATATGTTGAGTTTTTTTTTTTTCTTTTATCTTTTTTATTTGTTAAACAGTGCTCGATTTGGGCAAATTATTTGACCCGAGCCGAGCTTTCAATACTATCTCGAAATGTCCAACGTGATGCATCTGATAAAAAATGCTATATTTATGAACTTAGATCGACATTGACCCTTTGCTGTCCACACCGTCCGGACCTCTAGTTAGTAGGTTGGATGGTGATTACATTTATGCTCATCTCTTTCTTAAACGTGTGGTTTGTGTATGGTTGCAACCTTCCTAGTGGAAGCAAGATTGTGATGTTCTTCAGAGTCCATTTTAGTTAAGACAATTTTTAACAATTTGCATGTTATTTAAGACAGTTTTAGATATACATAATCCAAATAAAACGATCGATGTAGATTACTGCAATTGTATTTTTACAAGTAAGGTTGCAACTTTATACGAACTATTTCCCTTTTTAATGATTTTTAATGATTATATATGGATGGAAAACTATTTGGTGAGTAAGCCCACTCACCTATTCATGTGCGTCTCACCTCCAAAATCTATTTAAAAGATGGATTTTGGATCCAAAATTTCAGGATTTTTTGGTTACCTATTCAATGGACCCGCCTAGAGCAATGCCGCCTTGACCATGACTAGGCATTTTGTCAAAAAAGCCACCTAGGTGGTAAGGCAGCCGAATTTTCATTTATTGATCTCAACCATGGTGATCATCATGAATATGTTTTTACACAAAAAATAAAAATAGTGTTGTTTTATTTTTCTTCCACCATCTATTTTGGTTTTTAGTAGATAGCACCGCATGGAGGTTAGAGATGGGGCGTTTTATGCACAAGGAGACTCACGAAAATAGGTGAGTCAAACTCACCAAAACTAGGTCCTATATGAATTATAGCATTTTTAATATAGGTGAAGAAGCTTTGTTGAGGCAATGGCCAAAACAAAATAAGGTCGGTATGCTACAAGATGATTAAAAGGAGGTCATCATTTGCTAGAAGATATTCTACTCCCTCGGGAGTAGAATATGCAATTACGTTCTCGGGTAAAACCCCACGTAGAATTAATATTAAGACCTCAAGTTTTGGGGATGTAACGTCTTCAACCCATAAATTAAGCTCAACAAAAGAAATTTCCGAATTGTTCCTACACATAAAAAAAAAAGAAAAAATGTATCAAGATTGCTCTAGACCATCCAATTTTAGATAATGAGATCCATGTGATGGAAAACTTAAATTTCAATTTTTTTATAATAATAATCTAATAATTCTTAAATGGTTCTCAAATTTTTAGAATGAAAAGATCCTCCCAAGTAAGTTTCTGACCGAGGAAGTAGAAGAAAATTGGACTCTCGAGAGAACATAGGTTTTAGTAGTTTGATGTAAAATTAAATGCCATGAGGTGCGTCACAAAGTTGCATAAAAACTTTTTAGAACTAAATAAAATGGACCAGTATGTATATCTCACATTCAACAAGTATTGTATTTACCCAAAAAAAGAAAACACGAAACAAAAGATAATTGTGATTTCCTTAGAAAAAGCAGGGCTTGGAAACGGATACTTTGCTTTTTAATGTTGTTTGGAAAGTCACCGCTTCTTTACTTCAAACATGTTCTAAAGATAAAGAGATGCAATTTATATGTGGCTTAAGGGAAAACAAAGTAAAGCCTCATTTTTGGCATCAAAACTCTACACGATGGATCTAAAATTAATTTTAACACAAATCTTGTGGATCTGTGAACATGGGGTGAAATGGATGGCTTACATAATGTATTACAATATATACTATTTTTAAAACTTAAAATCCTAATCTTTTTTTAACTTTGTCATCAACCCAAAAGATTATGCGTTTGTACAGGAGTATTTTCACCATTCCCTCCTAAAATTTAACTAGGAACAATTTTAGGTCCTTAAAATTTAAGACCAACCTCTTTCGCTGATGATCAACTCACAAAAACTAAAATATTTAAATGCATCCGTGTGTACATAAAAAAAATAAACACCATTAATTCAGAGCAAAGATTGTCAAGTGAAGGTTACATCACTCTCTAAGGCTAGCAACGGAAGGGGCAGACTTGGATTGAGCCCGGCCCTCATTTAGGGGTGGCAATGGACCCAGACCCAACCCGGGACATGAGGGAGTAGATCCGATCAGGTTCGAGTATGAGTCCTAAAATTGGACTTGGAAGGTTGGGTTCGGGTTTAAATCTTGGACTCAAATACTATTTATTTGATTTCAGATCTGATCGAGTCCGGGTCTAGGTCCAATAATATTTTTCAAATTTTAATATATGAAATATATTTAAATATAATTAAATACTTAAATATTGAAATTTTTTTGTTCGGACCCGACTTGTTGCCACCTCTAACCTCATTCCTCTAGAGTCGGCTTGAGTTAGGTCTAGTCTAAGCCCAAGCAACCCTAGCTTAGGCCTAGGCCTTAACCCAATGAGGTCATGCCTGAGCTCAATCGAGAGAGAGATTCCTGCTTCTTGCCCATCACTCTTTTCTTGTTTTATTTTGTTTCCTCTCTCATTCTTAAAAGGATACAGTTTTTATGTGGCCAGCATGCATATTGTAGAAAAGCGGGCTTCGTAATAAACATATTTTTTAAATATAATTTGATCTCAACTTTTAAAGATTGTATAATCTTTAACGTGGAGATCAGGAATATGAAATAATAAGGATATGAATAATAATAATAATAATTTAAAAACAAAAAATAATAATTATATTAAAACAACATTTAGACAGTTAGTTACACTTGTTTTTAGATGACTCCCTATTTGCATCCTTCCTAAAGATAGATGCTTTATACGTTTGGAACGCATATTGTAGATACACGGTCCAGCCCGCGTGAAACAATTTTCCTTCTTTCTTAAAATGCAGTACGAAATTACTTCCACCCTGAAATGCCCTGTTTAAACGGCCCCAACTCTTAATTCACCATCAGGTGCATTTAACCCATCGAGATCTAGAGAGAGAGATGCATTTCATTGACCTAATTGCTGAAACATACTTGGTTGCAGATCAAAGGATTTCAATGAAGACTCCTTTAATGAATGGGTAGTTAAAGCCGAGGCACCTGCCTTACCTTACAGCTTAAAGCTGTATAATGAACTCAAGAAACTTGGGTTTCGAGTCATCTTGTTAACAGGAAGGGAGGAAAGTCAGAGGACTGTGACTGCAGAGAATTTGATCGCAGCTGGTTACGATTCATGGGAGAGGCTTATTTTGAGGTATTTGAGCTCAAACTCTATGTATTTTTTATGTTTATTTTCTCCATGTTATGTAGAAAATAGCTGAATTCATTGCTGTTTCTTTCATCCGTATCTTTAAGAGAAATCTGATTAGAATGGTTTCTTTTTTAAAAAATAAAAATTAGATGTCATGTTTCAGAACTATCTCAAATTGGTGATTAATTTTGGCCATACGTTTTTGTGATAGCTTTTCTCAAGATGAGCTAGTTAAAAACATGGTTAGACCTTGTGTATTGTTTTGAACGTTATCATATGAACCTTGTTTATTCGGTTTCATTGCGAGATTGGATTATGCAAAACATCAGGTCTGCGCACATTTGCTGTTAGGTAATTTGATTTCACTGTATTTATCATAAAAGAAGTTTCATTGTATTTGGGTCCTCTAGTGTTACTGGACTTGCCAGAGACCGACTTGGGTGAATAACGCGGCCTGGCGAGGCGAGTTTCGGGTGAGTTGGGTGTCCAACTCGCCCGACCCCAAAAACCTGACAAAAAAAGTTAGAAATCAACAATATCCTCGTTAGTAATATGTTTGTATATGATTTGATAGTTTTTAAGTTGATTTTGGGAACTTTCATATTTTTTTCCTTTTTAAATTTTTTATGAAATAAATCAGGCTTTTCAATAATCTATCATTTCTAGTTTTTTTTTCTTCCATCTAATTTAGTATTTTAATGCACTCAAATAATTTTTTAAAATTTCCTTTTTTTATACATCCTTTTTACATTTTTTTTATTTTTTACTTTCTCTTGAACTTTATTTTTTATTTTTATTTATTTATTTATTTATTTTTTTTGTATGCAGTGGAGTTACTCGCCTTGGCCAAGGGCCGAGTACCTTGGCCTAGGTGATTTGCTAAACATCGGTAGGGTTTGATTCCCTCCTTTGAGACTAGCAATGTGAATTGGTAGATGTGGATTACATTTTCTTTTTGTGAGAACTGCTCATTCATTGCATCTGAGATGTTCTTCTGCGTATATAGAAACGTTTCTATGGCTAATTTGTACTAGTTATAAGGCCTGCCGGAGTTTTTGAGTTGTTCAGTCATAAGCTCACAAGTGGAATTCCGGTGACAGCATCCAAAAGCTTGTTTGCAATATGAAGATTGAGACTACCAGACATATCATAAAGCTAACTAAAAATACTGCACCTGAGCTAATGTAATTTAGTGAAAAAGGACCTCCAAAGGCAACTGAGCTAATGTAACTTAGCTCTCTAACCTGTCAGGCAGATGGAAGCCCTTTCCAGGGCTTATGAAAGAGGACCTCCCCTTTGTATGGGACAATGCCTGCCAAAGCATTGTTTGATTTTCTGGATGCCCATCCTCTAGCAGAAAGATCTCCGCTAAATGAGGATTTCCCAATGAAAAGTATCATATGCACAAAGATCCATCCCAACTGGCAGTTGTACTTTGGCGGTGCCTAGGAATAGCAGCGGGCCAGAACTGGGTTCTTTTCGTACCCTTATAAAGGTCTGCTGCCATACACCTTTTCCCTGCGAAAGAAATCTTCGAATAATGCAGTGGAATATCAGGCCCTCATCAAGCCTAGAGATGGCCCTGGAATGGACCTTGAAACCCTGGATGTCTTTGGAGATTCCCAGCTTGTTATTCGACAGCTAAAGCGGATCTATGAAGTTTGCAAGGCAGAACTGATACCTTATCGGAGACAGTTAAGTCCCTCTTATGTGGGCTTCGAGAGGTCATACTGACTCATATACCATGTGGCCAAATGTCCAGCCTAATGCGCAAGGAAAGCTGGGTGCTACCATGATTCTTGCACCTGGGGAGCATATCCATGTATTGGTTTAGGAATGGCACCTTCTACCCTAGATAGGGAGCTAGAAGGAGACCAGGAACATGACCTTTTCGATGTATTTTCACCATATCGTTATGGGGCCTTGAGACTTTCTCATCAACCTCAAGTTGTTGCTATCACATGTGACTGAGGATGATTGGTGACAACCTTTTCTCATCTATATCCTCCATGGGAACCTTCTGCCCAAACGAAAACCATGCCCTTAGAGGGCAGGCCACCAGGTCCACATGTATCAATAATGTCCTATACAGGAGGTCATACGACGGGGTCATGTTGTGCAGCCTTTCCATGAAAAGAAACAATCAGTCGTAGAAGTACACGCAATTGTATTCTAGTTACTATTAATGGCCAACTATGGTGACGGATTCCATGACATATGCTAGAAGGTATCATGTATGCCAAGATGCATGGGAATTTCGTGCGCCAGGCACCAAAGCCACTTTGTCCCACAACAATATCTTAGCCATCTCCTCTCCCAATGGCAAATGGATATGGTTAGCCCAATAGACTAGATATCTGCAGGAGGCCATCTTTATATATTGGTTGCGGCTAATTACTTCTCGAAGTGGGCAGAAACTATCCCCCTGAAGCAAGTGGACAGAGGAATTGTCTCTGATTTTTTCAGGAGTCACATCAAACGTGGATTTGGTGTCTCTGACAAGATCATGTCTGACAAGTTCGTTGTTCAAGAACCACTTGTTCGACAAGGTTCACATTGATTAGAAGTACCCCTCCCTGTAAAATCCTAGAGTGAACGGTTAGGCCAAGGCTTTTAATAAAATCTTGTATGCAATCCTCAAGAAAACCATTAAGAAGAGCTAGAAGATTGGCAGGAGAAACTTCTTGAGGCTCTATGGGCATACCGTACCATAATAAGAGTTGCGACAGATGCTTCTCCTAATTCCCTATTATATGGAACGGATGTAGTCCTTCAATGGAGGTCCGACACCCATCTCTCAGGGTCATGGTTCGCTATGGCCTATCAAGGGTATCAGTGTCGATGTATGATGGTATATAATATGATGATGGGTGGAGAAAGCACTTAAGTCTAGTGGTACCAACTTCTCAAGCCTTTTTTTTTTCCAACTTGCTCTTGTATTTTCCTTGCCTTTTTAACCATATATCAAGTAGAGTTTATATAACTTGACCTTTATTAGTCAAAATAAAAAGGGAAATTTATCAAAATACACCTAATTTTTCAACAATTTAACGTTTTCCTTTTTTAAACTATTCTAACTCATGGTCATGGGTATTTCAAAATTAAATCAAAAGATGTGGGTTCAATGTTGAATAGTTTATCCCTTATGCGTATTTTGATCATCACCATCATCATCCGATCCTTATCCCAACTATTTGGGATCAGCTACACGAATCTTATTCCGCCATTATACTCAATAAGACCATAAGTCGTTAAATATTTTCTCACTACTTTCATTCATGTCCTTTTGGGCCTTCGCCTTGCCCTTTTAGAGCCTTTCATTTGAACCAAATTACACCTCCCAACCGGTGTTGCATGGCGGAACAGCTTTCCACTTGAGCCTACGCTGCACTTGACCAGCCCACTTAAGTCTACTTTCCCTCCTCCTATTGAAGTTACAATTAAGTTCTATTGAATGTATTAATTTTGAATTATATCATTTCTTGTCTTGCCACTCATCCATCACAACTACACTTATACTATAAGTATGTAGGTTCTTGTCTTCTCAACATTCGGTCCCATAAAGCATGGCTGGACTTACAGATGTCTTATAGAACTTCTCCTTCAGTTTTATTAGTTTGTGGCAATCACATAAAACTCCAGATACACATCTCCACTCTGCCCACCCAACTCTAATTCTATACACGACATCTTTCTTCAATCTCTCCATTCTCCTGGATTCTCGACGCAAGATATCAAAAAAACTCTCTTTTAGATATTTCTGGGGCATCAATGTTAACTACTTCCATATTTCTACTCCTATTATTACTAAACTTGCATTCCATATATTCTGTCTTAGTCTAGCAAATTTAAAAGCCTTTAAATTCTTATGTGTATTTTGGTAAATTTCCCAAATAAGAGTGGTTGTCACAAACTTGTTTAAATAGAAAGTTGCAATATTGATTTCTAACAAGGAAAAACAAGGTGTCATATTTATGAAGTCAGTGAATCTCATTGGTCATATACTTAGATGTTGTCAACTTATGAACTACTTCAACTAGTTCAGATCTGCTAAGCACATAAACTTTGACATCAATAATTTCTGTGAAAAAGACCTTGCAAAACTGACTTAAGAGACGATCCCGAAGCCCAAACAACAGTTGCTTGGATGGGTTTATGGGAGAATCACCAATTAGATGAAATGGTGCATTGCTCGAAGTATGGCTAGTTGCGAGGGGAGACGGGCAAAGAAGTGGAATCAACTATTCTAAGTTACTTGCCTGAGTTTATAAAGTAGAAACCTCACGTGAATTAAACATTAGTTGTTTTTATTGTTCAAGTGCTTCAGAGAAAAATAGCTTCGTTTTTTTTTTTCTCCTAATTAGATGTCAGATTTGCCTCTTTGAATGATTTCATGTTTGACATTTGTTTAGACCTACTAGAAGGTTTCATCATAAAAGTCGAGATAAGACCTTAGAAGGCTTTGTATGAATTAAAACTACCCCAAGAAGTTTGGAAGTTCATGCAGACTTGTCTTTCTAGCTCATGGTTGCCTCTGTTGTTTATAATTTTTACTTTATTTTGTAATGCTAGCTAGCCTGGGTTTTTGGAGGGATCTGCCCATAAATGTTTAAAGCAATCAAGGAAGTTGCTCATCGTAGTTCATATGAGTGTAAGATTTAAATCAACACAAGTACTTACTAGAATATTCTCATAATATAGCTATGTTTCCCAAAAAAAAGGTCCTAATAAGTATGGTTTAATGTACTATGATAATAGATTTGTTCTACAACACCATTTTAAACTAGGCAACTTCACTCGGGATTCACCGAGTCAGCTTAATTTGGGAGCTTGGCAAGTCCTGTAAAAATATCATGAGACTTGCCCAACTCTGGCCCTTTTAAGCTCTTACAATGTTTTTTCTTGATAAACTCGGTCGAGTCAACTCATCTTATTCAGGCTTAGGACCCTATCAAGTCCTAACCTAGGCTTGTGTTTTTAAGCATTGTCCATTATCACCATCGTCATCAGAGCCTTATCACAATTATTTGGGTTCGGCTACACAACCCTGTTCTACTATTCCGCTCTATCAAAGGCCATACCCTTAGTCAGGCCATAAGTCTTCATATCTCTTCTCACCACTTCCATCTATGGCCTTTGGCTCTTCCCTTTCCCTTTTTAGAGCCTTCCACTTGAACCAAATCACCCTTCCTAACTGGTGCTATTCTAGGTCAACACTACATATGCCAGACCACCTAATTCTACTGTATTTTCATCTTATTGCCTACTGGAGCTTCCCTCAGCTTCCTCATATATATTCATTCCGAATTCTACCCTTTCTTGCCTTGCCACTTTTTCATCTCTACTACACTCATTCTATGAGTATGTTGTTTCTTGACAACTCAATATTCCGTCTCGTAAAGCATGATTGATCTTACAATTGTCCTATAGGACTTCCCTTTCAGTTTTATTGGTATGCGACGATCACATAGGACTCTAGAAGCACATCTCCATTTCATCCACCCAACTCTAATTCTATGCACAATATCTTCACATCTCCACTTCATCCACCCAACTCTAATTCTATGTACTATATCTTCTTGAATCTCTCCGTTCTCATGGATTTTTTAATCTCTTTTAGACCACTGTTCTAAGACGAAAAAAATAATATCCAAGCGAATGATTTGGATTCAGTGATCGATTTTCTTGGATTTCATTCACGTATCGCAAATATAAAGGGAAAGGTGTTAGAATGATTGAAATTGAAATGATCTAGATCAACAGTGCAAATTGTCTTTCATAAGATTAATGTTGCCATTGTTTATCTGAATAACAAATCAATTGTGGCAAACACAAAGATCAGATTGCAGATATGTTCAACAAAATTTTTGGAGATGAAATCATAAATTAAGCTGAGGTAGCTGAAGAATGACTAGTTTGAAGTGAACGCCAGAATTCTTTTCTTTTTATTATTATTTATAAATAAGTTTAGAGTACTCACCTTTTTAGGAAAACCTCTGATTATGAGTTAGTTATCAAACTAAAGCCGCTGAGGAATGAATGGTTCACGGTGCTTGTCGGGAAAAAGGATGCCCCTAATATCTAAAGATTATTTCTGGTTATAGGAGTCCTTTTGCTTTGAAATACCTTGAAACTCTTTATTTTTGCTGCATGCTTCTCTTCCATTTTGTTTTCAGCTTGTGAAGCAACCTACATTAAAATAATTTGAACAACTGTGTCCGTGCCCTTTGTTCATGAAGAGTGATAAAAAGATGCTTCTGTTGAATTGAAACGAACTTCTATTGTTGTAAGAAAGTGGGACAGTTACAGAAATAATCCTAGACAAAAAGACTCGAGTGATTGCAATTATATGGACATTACATTAGTACCCATTATACAATAGTTTACAGCAGTCTTCTTTTACGCTTTCTAACCAACTGCGCCCGCACAAAATTTTGCACAATTTGAAAGTTAGTCTATGTGGACTTATAAGCACCTAGAAGATATGTGACTCTCTCACGGAATATGTGATGTTTAGAATTTATAATACTTACTTGAAAAGTTCTGTTTCATTGTTGAGCAAGTCCATTAATTTCTTAGTTCATTTGCTGCAAAACTTAATGCTACTTTTGTGAATCAGGGGGGCCAAGGATAGTGGGAAGCCAGCCGTGGTTTATAAATCAGAGAAGAGGATGGAGATTGAAGGTGAAGGTTATAGAATTCATGGCAACTCTGGAGACCAATGGAGTGATTTATTGGGATTTGCCATCGGTAACAGATCCTTCAAGCTTCCCAATCCCATGTATTATATAAGTTGAATTGTGGCACCAAATGAACCACCGTCTATTATTTAAATAAACATGCAATGTCATGCTCTCTCTCCATGCATATCCATTATGAATGCATAGCCGGTAGCTGCAATGGAATGTTCAGTTTAGCGTACTTTGAACCACCCCATCATTCATGACACATCCTGTAACCATATGTTATAGCAGGCCATCCCTTTTGCTTCACCAAGAGTTTTTGGAGGATTATCTCTCTCTCTCTCTCTCTCTCTCTCTCTCTCTCTCTCTCCTCTTTGTGTGTGTGGAGAGAGGGGTTGAGAACATTTGACAACGATCTTTGTCAAAAGGCGAAATCTATGCTTTGAACCCTGTACCACAATGTGAAATGGTTTTTTGGTTTCCCTTGAGTAATTCTTTTGAAAAATGCCGAGCTTGGTAAATATCCAAATGAGTCTGATAATTATCTACCTGGTTATTGTCTTTGGAGTGCATGTATCAGATGTTCAGATGTCATGTCAAGTGTGTGGTAAACGGAATATATGTTTAGTGTGTTCACCATTAACCCAAGAGTAGCGTTAAATGGGCACTTGCACAAATGTCCAGTGCATCTGAAGTGTCTAATACTTGAGAGGTCAAAAAGTTTACGGCCCCAACATGTATTTGCAAGTATTCATGTAAGAATTTTTTAAAATATATATAAAACATCAAAAAAATAAAAAACATAAAAGAAATTAGTTTAGGTAAGAAGTTTAATTTATGCAAATTGAATTTTTAATTTTCTAAAATTATTCTTTTTGTAATGGCTATTAGTTTAAAATTTTTAGAAGCTACACAGTAGTTTTCATTCGTCTCTAATGGCAACTTACATGATTTGAAGTTAAGTGGTTGTGGAGTCATATCCCATTACTGGTTTTTTATGCCAAGACACACCATGTCTGACAAATTGACACTTAGTATTAGACGATCCTATGCCAACATGTATGGAAAGTATGTACAGGCAAAGTGTTAGGCCCGTGTCTGATGATGTTTGGATTGACGCGTACCAAGATAAACCTTGTCTGATGAGTAGATACTTCTTGTAAGATATGTCTGATGTGGGTGTCAAAATAGTGATAAGACACATCTGATTGTGTTGACATGTCTGTCCAATCAGTATTTAGACATGGACTGTCGACAGACTATGTCTGATCGTATTGACTTGTGTCAAAGTATCAACAAGGCAAAATTTTACCCATATAACAGCGGTCAGGAGGCCGATTTTTCCTTTTTGGTTGCACAGCTAATGTTAACATTAAACCTGTTACTCCTCCTAGGCCAAAAGAGGCTGAATACTTCCTTTGTCTTTTTTCTTTTATTATTTCCCCTCTAATTTTAGTGGTCTCCCATAGTAACAACCCTTGTTCTACGTCATTCTCCAGCTTAACGATAACAGAGAGAGAATGAGAAAGGAGGAAATGGTTTCAAACTGACATATCGTAGGATTGTAGAACAACATCCCTCGAGGACTGATGTATAGTCCATCTCACCCGACAGATGATTCAAAAAGACGGAATTTACTCCATGCCGGCTACATACAGGGAACTTAGACCACAAATCCACCATCTATGTATTATCCAAGGGCGACTAGTAAATGGAAAATGGTTTGATAAGGCTGCAGCCCTATCAAAACAAGTAAAGCTTCACCTCATAACTCATTGAAAATTGCAATTCAAACATTAAAAAACCTTTACATCAATCATCTTGGCTTGAACATTATGGTTGTGAAAAAAAATAGGATTTCAGACTCTAAAAATAGTATATATGATAACAAATTATCTTGATCATTCATTTCGCCCTAAAAATAAGTTTTCATAGATATGTAAGGTCTGTACCATGTTTTGAGTTTCAAATTTCATTGTCGGTGTTGGAAATTGATTTTAGAGCCATCATGGAGATTTTTGTTGTTGAAAGTGCTTTCCGGACAAGGATTTGAGGTGTGACCTTATTTTATTTTCATAAAAGTCTTAAGCCTTGTAGAAACCGCATCCTTAGTGATATTGTTGCTCACATTTGTAGTTGCCAAGTTTGAGAAAATAGGTTCCACTACTTATGTATCGGCAATAGATGCCTGGAAAGGATCATCAAATATAATCTTCCAGTCGCACATGGTATACACATATGAAGTATAGTATTCAATATGAAAAAGAAAAGGAGACTGGGCATTGTTCTTTTTATGAGTATAGTATTCAACTAATCTTACACAATATTTGTCACCAATCTTTTCATGAGCATGGAGTTAAGTAACTCATCATCATCATAGCTTTTTCTCAATTAATTGGGATCGACAATCGGGATTGGCTATACGAATCCTGATGCAGTTTTCAACTCTATTTAAGGCCATACTTTCAGTGAGGTCATAAGTCCCCATATCCTTTCGGACTGCTTCCAACTACTCCCTTTTGAGCCTATCTCTTACCCTTTTCAATCCTTCCATTTGAACTAACTCGTACCTCCTAACAAGTGCTGTATTTGGTAGACGTCACACATGGCTAGCTCACCTAAGTCTAGTGTCTTTCATATTATCGTTTATTGGTGCTACACCTAAACTTTCCCGAATGGATTCATTTCAGATTTTATTCCTTCATGTCTTGCCACTCATCCATCTCAACATCTCCATCTCCAATACACTCATTTTATAGAGTATATTATTTTTGTCTGCCCAACATTTCGCCCCATAAAACAAAACTGGTCTCACAGTTGTCCTATAAAACTTATCCTTTAGCTTCATTAGTATGCGGCAATCACACAAAATTCTAGTTGCACATCTCCACTTCGCCCACTAACTCTAATTCTATGTGCAACATCTTCCTCAATCTCTCTATTTTCCTAGATTATCGATCCAAAGTTTGGAAAGTACATTCTTTTTCATACATTCTGCGTGTCAATCTTAATTATTTCCTCGTCTCGACTCCTGTTGTTACTAACTTTGCATTCCATATACTCTGTCATTGTCTGACTAATTTTAAAACATTTGGATTCTAAAGCGTCCTGCCAAAGTTCTAATTCTGTGTTTACGTCGTTTCGGGTCTCATCGATGAAAACTATATCATCTATGAACAATATGTACTATGGTGCCTCATCTTGCAGGGGCCTAATTAAGTCGTCCATAAGTAAGACGAAAAGATACGAGCTCAATGCTGACCCTTAATGTAGACCTATTGTCACTAAAAACTCACCCGTCTCTCCACTAGTTGTCCGCACACTAGTTAGCGCTCTATCATACAAATATTTCACCAAGTCGATGTAGTATCTAGAGACTCATTTATTTTCTAGCACGCTCCAAATCAAATCTCGAGGTACTCTATCATAAGTTTTCTCTAGGTCAATAAAGACCATGTGGAGGTCTTTTCCCTTCGCCATAAACTACTCAATTAGTTGCCTAAGTAGGAAAATACCATTGGTTGTTGACCTACCTAACATAAACCCAAATTGATTGTTAGATACACTCATTTCATACTTTAGTCGTTGCTCAATCGGTCTCTCTCATAGCTTCATAGTATGGCTCACAAGTTTGATCCCTCGATTGTTCACACAATTCTGTATATCTCCTATATTCTTGTAAATAGGTACCACAATATTTTTTCTCTAGTCGTCTAGTATTTTTTTGTTCTCAGCAGTTTGTTGAACAACTTCATCAACCAATCAATGTCAATCTCCTCCATGCACTTCCAAACCTCTATCGGGATATCATCTAGTCCTAAAGTCTTTTTCTATCTTCATCATTTTCAAAACTTTTTTCACTTGTGATATCTTAATCCTACGAATTTATCTATGACTTTTGCCCTCATTTATACCAACAATTCCTTCTATCACTATATGCTTATTGTGTTTGTCATTTAATATTTTTTAAAATAAACTCTCCACCTTTCATTGACCTCGTCATCCTTCATCAATAACCCTTTGATCTTCATTTTTAATGCATTTAATATGATTTAGATCCCTATACTTTTTCTATCTTATTTTTGCTAATTTGAATACATCTTTTTCACATTCTCTTGTTCTCAGTTTATTGGATAGATTATCATATGCCTTATGTTTTACTTTGCTTACTACTTGTTTATCATTTTTTTTAGCATTTTTATATTCTTTTAAGTTTGGATCATTTCTATTATTACACTATCAAGTTTTATAACGCGACTATTTTTCGCTAATGACCTTTTGGACCTCATCACTCCACCACTAAGTTTCCGTATCGGAATTTCTTTTTCCTCTAGATTATCTTAAAACTTTTTTTGCCACTTTCTTGATACAGTCAGTCATCTTATTCCATATTATATTTGACATTATGTTCCGAGATCCATTTTTCTTATTTTTTAATTTCCATCACCTAGTTCTTGGACACCTATTACTTTCACCTTTTCTCTTTTGTGTCTTTATGCAGATATCCATAATCACACGCCTCTGTTGGGTAGTTAAACTCCCTCCTAGGATAACTTTGCAGTCTTTATATGATAGTCGATCTACCTTCTTAACTAGGAAGAAGACTATTTGGCTTTCATGTGATCCACTTTTATAGGTTATTAAATGTTCATTTTACTTTTTAAAGTAAGTGTTTGTTATTATTAAATCGTAGGCTATAGCAAAATCTAAAATAGTCTCACCTATCTCATTTCTTTCCCCAAACCCCGTATCCCTCATGTACCCTTTCATATCCTCTACTGTGTTCCTTATATGGCCATTTCAGTTCCCTCCTAAAAGTCATCTCTCCATTGGTATGTTTTGGACTATTCCATTTATGTCCTCCCAAAATTGTCTCTTAATTTTATCATGTAACCCGACTTGCGGTCCATAAGCACTAATTACATTAATTATCTCTTGCCCTAATACAAGTTTAATTAATAGGAACCTATCACCTATTCTTTTGACATTAACTACTTTATCTTAAATCTTTATCTATTATTATGCCTACGTCATTTTTATTATTATCCTTTCCTCTACACAAAAGTTTAAACCCATCTATTTCTTTAGTTTTTTCTCCTTTCCATGTAGTTTTCTATAGATATACTATGCTTATTCTCCTTTATCTCATTGTATCCACTAACTTCATGCTCTTACGTGTAAGTGTTCCTGCATTCTATGTGGCTAGATGAATTTTATTCTCATAGATTAGCTTTTGTACCCACGCTCGTTTAGGATGTCATAGATACGGGTTTGGGGAAAGAAATGAGATAGGTGAGACTATTTTAAAT